TCACCCAGAGGAGAATAATGATGATAGGCTGTAAACTGGCGTAAAGTAAAATTATCCGTCTGTTTCAGATGCGTTTCTTGTAGACAGAATGCTGATGGCGTTAAATCCTGGACTAATAGCTGTAGTTCATTAAAATTGGTCCTCAGACCTCTACAATTCCACTGCACGATAGTAGTAAAATGACCTATCTTTTAGGTGGATTGATAGGGGATCTCCCCCTCACTTTCTTCGAGGGCAACGAGCTACGTGCCCTGGGATGGATGCTTTCTGACACATCCATGTCCTCGAGAGAACCATATTTGTTATATAATTGTATACGGTTTTCTGAACCCTTAGAGGGTCTACCACTTTTTTTGCACACTTTCCGTCCTAGGTTTAACTGTATTTTTGACCACACTCTTTGAAATTGTGTCAGATCCAGTCTTCTGAGTGGACAATAATTGAACTTCATCCTGAACTTTGGTTTGTACCGACTCTGAAGTCTGACTAGATTGTTCAGGTGTAAGAAGGTGAGGGGTATCGTTTGTAACCCAGGTCAAGTCTGTTTGACACTCTATTGAACTACTGGATACTGGCGAATTTACTTTTGACAAGCTTTCGGAGGGTGTCCTGACGACTGATGCATATGATTCATTTGGAACTGTTGAATCAACAAGCTTTTGGGCATCAGCGAAGCTAATGTTTTGAGTGAATTTAACCTTGTTTATTTCCATTTGTTTTTTCCATATGGGACAGTCTTTAGAAAAGGAGGAATGATTACCTGAACAATTTGTGCATTTTTTTAAGGCACTTTCACAATCTTCAGTTACGTGTGAAGTTTCGCTACAGTGAGCACATGTTATAGGCTTTGTGCAAGTGTTGACACCGTGGCCATACTTTTGGCACCTGAAACATCGCAAGGGATTTGGGATGTAAATAGCAACTGTGATGTTACAGTAACCAACCTTTACAGACTTTGGAGGATTTGGTGAAGAGAACGAAAAGAGGTACGTGTTTGTCGGAATTACGTCATTGTTTTTGCGGGTGGTAAATCGCTTGACATATGTCACTCCCTGATCTTTCATTTCGGATACGATGTCCAGTTCTGACATGTCGGCCAACAAACGATCTCTGTCTCTTATAATTCCTTTGCTGGTGTTCAGTGTTCTGTGCGCAGTAACTGAAACGTGGATTCCAGCAAATGTTTCTGTAGTCATCAGGTTGGCAGCTTGTTGTTTCCGAAGGCATTCAATCAATAATGATCCCGAACGCAAGCGTTTTATGGTCTTTACTTCACCTGCGATGCCATATATACCCTTAGAAATGACAAAAGGATTCAGCTTTAGTGGTGTCTCGTCTACAGTGTCGAGAACCAGGAAACGTGGCCAATTTTCTGTTGATTTGGAAGGTCTCTGCTCATCATCATTATCGAGTGGACGTTTTGTTTTTTTTGTGGGGGTTTGGTAATCCATGGTAAGTTTAATTTGATTCATCATCCGGGCTCCCCACCCACCACGGAGTATCACAAGGACAATGCTAATCACAAGTGGGTTTCCGACTTGCAGCACCAAGGATACCCGGATGATATACTCAAGCAGAACAATCAACAAGCAATTATTCCACCAGATTGGCCCATGAGCCACTGCCTTCTGGACATAGGACTCTAGGCAAATTTCAATAGAACATTTTATTGATGACATTCAGGTTAATCAATCACAATAATACTAAATCGCAGTTGTACAATGAAAATATAAATATATCATCTTGAAGCCAAGATCACTGACAAAAATTTGAAATAATTTCTAAAATTTGTGCAGCAAAATTTAAAATGTACAGGGCTTAACATGACCAGCCGATTGATAGAACCGGGCCAGTTCTACCACCCGTCTAGGTGAAGTAAGGGGCGAAGTGGTGTGTTGGGCAGAGGAACACTGTTCCTGGAACCAGTGCCCTCAACCACCAGCCTCCCGTCCTCCACCGACACAGGGGCGCAACCCACGGCCAAACGGGTTGGTGGACCAAATATCCCCCATCCGGGTCCACAACGGGGTTGAAGGGCGCTTAGCGTGACCCAGCACCAATACAATATAAAATACGGGCTATAGATCGCCAAAAATGAAGGTAGATCACCATACTAGGGCCACGGGTTGGCGTGATATCTATTGGCGTGATATGCATGCAACGTTATATATAATATATACAGGTGTTGTATTCGTCCTGAAACAAACTTGGTTTGTTGACGTCGTTGCTTCTCTCTCTCTTTATATATACATGTAGTCCTAAGACTCCGTCTGTGACAATGTTTACCTCGATGCCAGTTTTGTTGCGTCAAAAGCCCCCGTGTCTGTTAATCTGGACCAGCCAAACCCGTAACTGACATGAGATACATCGATCCCCGAGTGTGGTAAAATGACATGCATTAACCAAGCCAGTGAGACTGACATCTCAGAGAATCCCCTGAAGCATTTGTTTCTGAAGAACAGTTCTAACCTGAATTTGGACAGAGTAGTGTACTGTGACTATGTGTCCAGGTCGACCCAGCTGTGAATGGGTACCTCGTTAGGATGAGAAAGCCACAATAACTCGGTGCGCCTAGTGGCTGCAAGAGTTGTATACTCCTCAGGGAGCTGAGATTGATAATACAATCTGCCTTTGAGATTGACATTCAATGATCGAGGGAAAAAATTCCAGCGCCTTGAGCATGCACTAGTTGCCTGGATATGTGCGCTATATAAATATCCTATAATAATAAACAGGGGGTGTTGTTAGGAGGAACTGTTGGTGTGATCTCAGCTGTCGTAGTGGTGTGTACACTGAGATGAGTTCAGAGAGGTACTGAGGCGCTAGATATCAAAGTGAGTGAGTGAGTGAGTTAAGATTTAAAGTCATATCGGCAATATTTCAGCCATATCGTGACTAAAACTAGTTCTAAATTTATAATACATACATATAATATATAAAACCCTGTCAACGAAGGACAGTAAAACCACTAGGTTATCACAGATTGAGTTAAAACTAGCTAGCATATATCTTTAAAAGTAGAAAAGCATGTTTGGACAATACAATGTAAAATTGGGCTATAGATCGCCAACAACTGAAGGTAGATCACCATGGGACGATATCAAGACCATGTAAAACATCAGTCATGTATCAGAAACAATCTAGAAACTGACAGTTTTTCTAAAAGCTATATCTTTTCATGAAGATCACTTTCTTTCAAAAAATGATACAACCTGATGGCTATGGACTTGAATAACGCGTTGTTTTAAAGTATAAATATGAAACTATGTTTCATGTATCAATGTAGTATCGGTACAGTCTAAAAGTATGTGTTTACGGTATTCTAAATTGACAAGGAATGCGCATTATAGCATGTTCGCCCTTTGAAATAAAAGAATGGACAAAGTGTGAATGTCCATCTTAAAAACCGCCATAGAGCTGGAATTTTGCTGTGTGCTGCGTTAAACAACAAAACAAGCATATAAAAACATCATCTCTTTGACAACGTGAAAACGTATGTACCTCGTTGCTGGTTTGTTTACCGCAATTTGTTTGTCAACATTGATTAACACATTGTCCACAATCAGTCAGTATTCCGTTAGTATTTCTATTTGTGCAATATTTCTAGTTGGCCGTTCCTACCAAATCAACGTTACCGTTTCCTTTCATGCCAACATGATAATTTGAGGTGCAAATCTACAGTTTCAGCAAGAATTGTCCGGCCATTCTTTACCTGCAACCATGACAAGATGTCAGCAAATATTTCTAAATTGTCTGTCTGCTTAATGTATTGCAATGCATATGTGTTCTTTCTTCTGCAGTGGAAATAGAACTTTCATCAGTGAGTCTAACCCGTTATTAACGTACTATCTGTTGTAACGGTACCACCTGATCCTTTCTCCCGATCCTTTGAGTATATATAGCTGAAAGTTGTTTTCACATTCAAGAGTGAGTGAGTGAGTGAGTTATTATTTAACGTCACATCGGCAATATTTCAGCCATATCGTGACGAGAACAATTAATTTTATGCATAATGAGCAATAGCAAACCACATTCAAGAGAATGCATTGACGATACTGTATACAATCTGTAATGGTCTTTTTCAGCCTGGTCACGACCAGACTGACTATGGGCTGCACACACTGCCAGAGATATGTATATGTCATTTCTGACAATTCCATTTTCACTATCGTAGGAAGACTTTTTTAGATACATATCGAGACGTGGAGGTTAAAAATATAGAATGTAGTGCACATGTTGGAAAAGGGCCTCTATCCAGCAATAGTGATGATTTTCATTATCTGACAAAAAGAAAAATCTATTTGGAGAAGCGAGCGAGGATGCAGGATAACTGGCTGACAGGAAATGTGAACGTGCCTCTGTCGCTTGCTTCGTGCTTGGATAGTGCTTGTTAGTCTCCTCCACAGCTAAGAAGTCACAGAAGAGGCAGAAGACTCACTATGATCAGAGAGCCAGGGCAGCTGTGTTAGAGGAAGGAGACAGCATCTTGGTGAAGATCGTTGCATTTGACGGACGGCACAAGCTTGCAGACCAATGGGAGGAAGATGTGTATATGATTCTGGAGCAGCCTAATCCATCCATACCAGTATACACCGTTTGTAAGGAGAATGGTGACGGCAGGAAGAAGACACTGCACAGGAGGTGACGGCAGGAAGAAGACACTGCACAGGAACCTATTGCTTCAAGTAGGATTTCTGCCCCATCAGGATGAAGCGCCAACACCGAAGCAAAGGAAACGGAAGTCATTGCCACCACCTGAAGTGCCATGGGATATCCAAGACATACCAGACAACACCACAGCCAGCTTCTCCGAGGGCGGATTTTCAGAGGAAGGAGAGGAGGAATTAGTGATTGTCTCCACCCACCTATCCGACAGTTCAGGGTCAGCTATTGCACCAGCTGACAGGCCACCTGAAGAGGAACTGTGTTTGTCGGTCTGTTTAGACTTTAAATGTTCACAGATTTTGATTCCGTGCTGTACAAGTTTCCTTTTGACAACACTAGGACTTTTCTCATATTCTTTGTGATAGGCAGCCTCTTTGTCCATTTGCTCAAGTGACTGCACAGCCCGACTTGAGAGTTTGACTCCAGAATGGTGGCACTTGTCGATTGATGATGTCCCAAGGCCATTGTTGAGTCTGTGAATAGTCGAGGAAGCCCTCCCAATCATATTCCTTGAAAAGTTTACATTCTTTGGCAAAGAAATACTCAGGGATCGATTGGCGGCTTCACATTTCTGGGTGTCTGTGTAGAATTTCATTTGTTCAACAACTTCAACACTTAGCTTCATTTTGAGAATTTCATGTAGTAAGTGTTTATCGTTGTCATCCATGTTGAAATGTGTAATATTGTTGCAGCCGAGGAACATAGAGCGCTGCCACCAGCTGTTTGTTACACCTCCTCGACACACAACTGAGTACCGGGCACACCTGGAGCAGTCGCCGCTGTAGCACTTCAGGGTAGCTTCGAGCACTCGAGGTAACATGCTACTAAGTGTTTTCATGTCGCCAGCTGATCCTTCATCAGTTCTTTTTGTATAAGGCTGCACCGTGCTTTCACATCCTGATCACATCCTGACTCAGGAGACCCGTGAAGATCCGGGGTAGAATAGGTCTTCAGCAACCCATGTGCTTGCCATAAAAGCGACTATCTTGTCGTAAGAGGCGACTAACGGGATCGGGTGGTCAGTTTCGCTGATTTGGTTGACACATGTCATCGGTTCCCAATTGCGCAGATCGATGCTCATGCTGTTGATCACTGGATTGTCTGGTCCAGACTCGATTATTTACAGACCGCCGCCATATAGCTGGAATATTGCTGAGTGCGGCGTAAAACTAAACTCACTCACTCACTCACTCACCCTGACTCAGGACCTTCTTTGCTTCGATTTTCTGTGTACGTGCAGTGCCAGGGAACATGTCTGGGTTAAAATCAGCTCTGTAGCATTGTCGGAACTGTCCTTGAGCCAAGTGGGTCGGGTCAGCTAGTCTTTGCACCTTCCACATTGGGTCCAACACTTTCAGAGCTTTGTCTAGTCCATCTGCACACCTGGAATCCCCATCGGTAGTTGCATACTTTATAAACACACCCTGTAGTGCGAGCTGATTTCCAATGTCTTGTCCCATGTTGAACTCAGACAATGGAGTGAAAGCCGACATATTTGCAGTACAGTCTGGGTGCCCCCCTGGACATTTCACATCCATGCCCTTTCCTTTCAACCAGGCACAAGGCCAGCAGAGCTTGTTCTGGAATTAAGCACTGATTATAAACTTATTGTCCGTTACAGTTTCGCAAGCGATGCCGATAGCTTGTGATGCATTCTGCCCTGGCTTCTTTCTGCTTACTATTGTCGTCGAGTTGTATCGGCCATCCATTGCAATGTTTACTTCACATGGCTTTGTACCCCTCTTTCGATTAACATCCTTCACTAATTCCACCTTTTCAGCCATATCCTTAGTGTTAAGTTCAATTACAACCTTAGCCACCTTGTTTGAGGTCCTTTGCATACTGCTACTGCATGGAGGTGGAATGTCCTTGCTGGCCATAATCAGCCTCGCTCTCTTATTCCCTATGGGTGTGTCTTGTAGACCCAAGGCAAGTCCGACGTTAGGTGCTGCTGGGTTTGGTCCAGGTTTACCCGTCTGGATTTCCTTGTACAATTTCATTTGGGGTGCTACAAAGTCACACATGACACATTTCAGTGTTATTTTCCAACACATACCCCATTTTCTCTCCTTGGCTATGTGCAGCTGAGGGTCATCACAGTTAGTTGATGTTGAGCGATGCAGCCGCAGAGCTGTGTTCAATGCTTCAGCCACCTTTTCAATGTCGACTAGTCGCATACCCTGCAAGTCATGTTTGCTATACTCTTGTTTCAGGTCAAGCTTGCTGGCTGAAGTAGGACGCAGAAGCATCACTGAAGTAGATATACCTTCGCAGTCAGGCGTTGACAGCTGAGTTCCAACCAGCCTTGACTTGGTGACCAGGGAGAAGTCTTTTGCACTGAACCTAGTCACAGTCCTGGGTATCTTGGGTGGAGAGGCACTTTCACACTCTTCTGATTCAAGGGTGAGATCTTTGTTCCAGGGAGTATGCAGTAAGCTACCTGAGCTGCCAATCAATTTATTGAGAAAAGATAGGGCTTTCTAATGAATATAAATTTAACAGTTTCATTTTTTAATTTATTTTTAAATATGAACTTTAATGGAATTATTTTAGTATAAAATGCATGTATGTATATAAAAATAAACAAAAAATTGAAAAAAATTCTTTACCAGACTGAACTGGTGTATTTAGATAGTATATGCAATAACAAAACAGGGACACTTGATGTTTTGGTCAATTTCCTTGTGGTTATGGAGTTATATACAAAATAGAATTGTATTTCAAATGAATTCATGCCAAAAATGAACACTCAAATGCCAGAGGTACAGCATTTGCAAGGGGTATAAGTCAAGTTGTGTATGAGTGAGGGCTTTCAAATTTTTTGTGAGCCTTACATAGTGTCTGGTCTTAGTATTGATGAAGTTTTATTTAATTTGCAGATTTCTTTTAGTCCTGATAGGCCTCAGACCACAATTACCCCCCTTTACTTTTACCATGACCCGGAAGCAAAATAGGAGAATATAGTGCCTTGTTTAAATGGGCTGTTCTGTCTGTGCTAATTTTCTCAGAGTGATTTGTGGTAGCTTAAATGAAAGGTGAGACATTGTACTTTATTGCAAAATGTTTTTGGTCCACAATCTGCACATGGTATTGGCACCAGCCTTCCATGATTTGACCCCCAGTTCAAGGTTGTTTAGTGTGTTTCCGGCTCGAAACCTCCGGTGACCATAGTTGACAGTGGATACAGCAAAATTTAGGTGGTCGACCCAGGCCGATATTTTGCTGGTTAAGTGACAAGTGGCAGGTTGGTCAGCATGCAACAGGAAAACAGCCTACGACCGATATTTATTATGGTAGACTGGCATGTAACTGTACATAGCCAATAGGGACAATAATTGTGGTCTGAGGCCATCTGGCCAACTTGTCCGGCTTGTTTTGCTAGCACAGGAAGCGGAACACATCAACCCCAGTTCCGCACCAAATGTCACCTACTGGAAAATATCTGTACACACAATAAGCATAAGTCATGGTGATGAAAATCACAGTACTGAATACTTAAAATTGTGGTCAGTTTTAATTACTGGTTGGATATGCTTTTAAAAAACATAAACATCTTACACTATTTCATCCAATCACAGCTGTCACATGTCTCTATCTCTTCATTTGTTTACATGCGGTTCTCGCTCAGTGAGCAAGCGATTCTCATTTAGTGTAGTATAACCTGTAGAAACAATGGTCTGCATCTGCACTAGGCAAATCTGTGATGTATTTATTGTAAATATATGTAGCTCCTTAGAAACAAATGGAAATTGGTTCAAGTGCTATACTTTGTGCTCACTGCCATGTCTGTATGACACCTATATGCAGAGATCTGATACATCATAAAAGCTGTTAAGAGTTAAATTACTATGGTTTGGGCAGCTTATTGCAACATGTACTTCTGTATTAATAAAGAACTTTCTATGACCATACACAGGCCTCTATTGTTTATTCTTGTTTCCCAAAAGGAGGGGTTCACAGGTCAATTCCATGGTTCACAGATGACGCTTCAAACATGTTACCCCTAAAATATCTTTTCGACCCTGTAAAATTGGCAATACTGATAGAGTCAAAACAAAATAGACTTCATATTTCAATTTAAATGATGGTGAATTGTTTGGAGTAATGTTGTGACAGCAACTAGTGATAGAAGAATCTGATACATCTCATGGAATTTGGTTGTGACACTAATTAGATTAAGTGTTAAAAGAGGCTGGACAGAGTCAGTTGACTGGAACTGCTACCCCTGCACTGTTTACATCTAACTGACAGGTCCATATTTGGTATTTTAACTATGGGAGGGCAAGATCCAATGTTAATGCCTTCATTCCACTGAAAAATTCATAGAGTTAGCATCCTGGACATACTCTGGAAACATGGCACCACACCGAAAGTGTTCGAAAAGTTGTTTCAAAAAGGAAATAAGCCTTGGAACTTTGGTGAAAAACAACCCAGGGATAAGCAAAGTAGATTTAAAGTGCCCCAGACTGTCAGGTTGACCCCTGAGCTACATAAGAAAGTGACCAGTGCAGGGGTGACTGGAGTGCAGCCAGTACAAACACTCACCAGTGTGCCATACAGCCTGTTAAGGCCGAGGATGAGAAACACCCCTCAGGAGGATGATTGTTCACTGAAAACAAAAAATGACCGGTAAGATGACTATAATCTACTTATTCATGTCACCCAAGCTTTGAAATACTTGCAGGTAACAAAAAGTCCTCATTGTTAAATGATTTGGGTGGCCAAACTTGCCTCATTAAAATAATTTATCTTTAAACAAGGTGACATAAGGAATTTTCAATTTTATTCACATTTTTCAGTGATTAAGTGAAGTAAGTGGCCAAATTCAGACTCATGAATGAGTGTTTTTCAAAACCAATTAAAAAAAACTGTTTTAATACCATAATGAAGGGCTAGGCTGGGATAGAAATAGAAAATACATTTCATCCACCAAGGAAGATAATTCACAAATGTCGAACACAACAACATATTGTAAATAATCATTTAGTCCAGGAGGAGGCAGCTGAAATAATTCAAATCGTAGCCTCCCCAGTACTGATTTTGTTTGACACTATTTTCAGTTAGTATGATGTCTTGGGCTCATGAAAAGGCCTGTAATACTCTCAGATTGTGGTATCAGGTTTTTTTTACAAGCCATTATATGTGGTGGGGGTCTGCGAGCATTTTCGTCACATTTCGTTTGCTGCCCGACAACACCTCAAAGTTAATCATTAATAGTTTTACTACTATCGATCTGATCACTTTCATTTTGACTTTTGTGTACGGCTAAAAGATGTAGAAATTGTTTGACATAATTTTGTTTTGAAAAAAAAAATCAAAATGGCCACCATTTTGGCCGCCATTTTGTTTTGTCGTGTGTTGCCTTCTCAGCACTTCAATCTACGTAAAAATGAACACTGAATGTTTCCATTTACATCCAAAGTTGATACTTTTGATGTGTTTTGACACATCTTTCTCCTAGAGTGATGGCTTGGGCACAAAACAAGTCATTTGGTTGGTCATATCGTGGTAATTTAATGTTTTACAGCTTATTCTTTGAGTCAGGGGTATTTTAGCAATTCTCCGACTTTTCATGGAAATGTGTGAGAGTGATTTATTTAATGGCAGTTAACATTATTTTTGTTACTAGAATAAGTTCTTTTTGTTTTCTCTTTACTTCTAGAGTGACGGCATGTTATTAGGAATGTTTACATATTACCCAGAATTCAAAATGGCCGCCAAAATGGCCGCCATTGTAGTTTAACTACATATACTTATTGGAGGACTAAATTTGTACTGATATGAAATCCAAACAACTCATATGGTGTCTAATGTTTAATACAGTATAGGAATAGAGCTAAATTTCAATGATAGGGTCAATCAAAGCTTCACACTCCTAAAATATTTGATGAAATAACATTATCCAAAAGTGTTTGAAAACTATGCTTCATGGCTGATAACTACGTATAAGCTTTGGTTGTAGGTATTCAAATTGTTCTATCAGATAACTCTTAATCACTTTTGATACATCCATAAGCTTGCAATTTACCCCTTCTTTTCACTTTCTTTCATTTCATATGTTACTTCATGTCAGAATTGGACCTGTGAAGATCTGGTTAGAATTGACCTTCAATAACCCATGCTTGTCGTAAGAGGCGACTAACGGGATCTAGTTGTCTGGCTTGCTGACTGGGTTGACACATGTCATCGTATCCCAATTGCACAGATTGATGTTCATGCTGTTGATCCCTGGATTGTCTGGTCCAGACTCGATTATTTGCAGACTGTCGCCATATAGCTGGAATATTCCCGAATGCGTAAAACTAAACTCACTCACTCACTCATGTCAGAATCGGAGTCATCTACTGGCAACAAGTCAAAGGTGTTCAGGCAACAAGCATCTGCCATACAAATAGACATGCCTCTGCGCACACTATATCATTCTTTCTGCTGGCATGCTGACTTTTTGCTTTTACACGATGTCAGTTCAACTAATCCACGGGGAGCAGGATCTCTTGACATCAGAATAGCTGACCATCACAAATGCTCCAACCATGGTCAACTGGTGAAAGAATGTTCATGATTGGTTGCAGAGACTGTTCCCAAACATGGACTTTGTAGTTTACTCGTTCAATGTGATGTTTTAGACTGTTGGTAGTTGGTTGGAGGTTTTCATTCAATATCTTGTGTCATCTACAGACATCACTGGATTATTTGGTACATGCATAGAACTCACAAACTGGCCACCAGATGTAATGAATGTTTCTTGAACATCCAAATTGTCACCCAATTGTGTCAATGTTGGTTAGTGATTTTCAGAGGACTTCTGTAAGTCAATTCCCCATGTCGAACGTTCTACACGTTCTAAAATGGGACGGAGTAATAACGTACTAAAAATGAGATTGCCATACTAAGAACGGAATTGCAATACTACGAACGGAATCGTGGCACTTCAATCTTACTGGGTACGTGTGCGGACGTAGTGCAGTCCGGCATCAATTGCAATACGTTTGTACACAGTTTCCACCTGGTCCATCCCGTTTGCAGAACTCTACTGAACTCTAGTTAGTCGCTATTCCAAGCAAATATGTTCAAAACAAAATGAATCGTTCTGAAGAAACTTGTAGTACATGGTTCTAACAGTTTGCAATGGGTTCTCATCACGTTCTTCTCGTTGTTAGTATGTTTATGTAGTTCTCATGCAGTTCTTACTATGTCAACTCTGTGTGCATTACGATATGACAAGGTAGGGTATATATACATGCGTTTTTAACATGGTCGTCATTTGGGATAGAGTTTCAATGAACACGTTTGCAGCTGTCAAAATATTGAATGCTGGTTTCCTGCAATTTTTATCGGAAGCAGAGCAAGAGTACAATGAGTTGGTAGAGCAAGAAAGAAGGAAAACACAAGAACGTGTTGGGTGAGGAACTGGCTTAAATCTGAGAGGTGAATAGCTGTGGGACATTATCATCACCTGATGGAGGAGCTCCGCCTTGATGATCATGAGTCCTTCTACAATTTCTTGAGAATCACCCTTCCCATGTTTGATGAACTTCTTGAACGCATTGACCCCTTTATAACTTAGATGTTCACCCTTCTTCTTCCTTAGAGGCATGGTGATGTCAATGTTTCCACCTTGAAACTGAGAACGGAATAAGAATGGGCAGGGTATTTATATAAATCGAACCAGGAAGTGATTGCTATTACGATTGCACGCACTAGAAACGGAATGAGAAAGTAGTGAGAATGGGAAGAAGTGCCTGAAAATGAGTTGGTTTAGAAGAATGAGTTAGAACGGGGTTGTGCGTATTAAGAACGAGATAGGTTTAGTTCAGAAGGGATATAAAGTGACTATGGACGGGATTGGACTGCTTGAAAACGTTGTCCACACGGGTTGAACGGGCAATTTTACCCACTCTAAACGTAACACCAACTGTCTGGGGACGGGGTAAAGACGTGACAGACGTACACAGTTACACGTTCTATCCCGTTCGAGCTCACTTTACAGTTATTCTTTGGACAGGGCAGGACGTCCTAAGAACAACATTACTGTGACTCAGGCTTTACCAACAGGTTCATGGCTGGACCAACAGAACACCATCGTTCGTTCATACATGCTACAAGACTAGACTTGTTGACAGGACTGCTGATGGGTTTGTCCCATTGTCTTGGCAGTGGTTTGTTTTTGCCAACAATCTTGACTTCTAGCTCCGTTAGCGATCCTATTTTGATTTGCTCCCCTGCTTTAGTCCCAAACAACATCAACTCTAATGCAGTCTGTTCGATTCAGAATTGAAGTGAAGTTGTCCCAATGCATATCAGCCAAGTGTCCAAATGTGGAAGCAGCTTCCTTTCTGAACATTTGCAATTTTGCCATTCCATCAACTATATGAACTGGCAACATTCTCTCTTCTGCTAGGATAAGCAGCGAAGGACCAAAAGCTTCCTTCATTTAACAAACCGCTTTTGATGTTCTTTCTTAATGTTCCATCTGAATGAGCCATTGTAAAATGAACACTAGAAATGTCCATGTTCACATCAAGGTTGATGACAAATCCATTCAATCTTCCAAATGAATGATGTCTACATCTTGTGAACATTGGAAGTGGAGTTGTTGTCCCAAAGGATATGATTCACAGCCTCTTGCATGTTAAACAGATTGGGGCAGAGCAAAGGGATAACTTGTAAAGTAGTCGATTGAACTCTTCCAGGACAAACTTGTGGTCACCTTTACATCGACTGAACCTGAAAACCTTTTCTACATTGATTCCCAAAAAGGCTGTAAAGCCCAGGGATGAGAAGCTTCACACAACAAATGGATGACAATTTGGATGTTCAAGAAACACTCATTAAATCTGGTGGCCAGTTTGTGAGTTCTATGCATGTACCAAATAATCCAGTGATGTCTGTAGATGACACAAGATATTGAATGAAAACCTCCAACCAACTACCAACAGTCTAAAACATCACATTGAACGAGTAAACTACAAAGTCCATGTTTGGGAACAGTCTCTGCAACCAATCATGAACATTCTTTCACCAGTTGACCATGGTTGGAGCATATGTGATGGTCAGCTTATCCCTATTCTGGTGTCGAGAGATCCTGCTCCCCATGGATTAGTTGAACTGACATCGTGTAAAAGCAAAAAGTCAGCATGCCAGCAGAAAGAATGATATAGTGTGCACATGGGCATGTCTTTTTGTATGGCAGATGCTTGTTGCCTGAACACCTTTGACTTGTTGCCAGTAGATGACTCCGATTCTGACATGTGTGAGTGAGTGAGTTTAGTTTTACACCGCACTCAGCAATATTCCAGCTATATGGCGGTCTTCTGTAAATACTCGTGTCTGGACCAGACAATCCAGGGATCAACAGCATGAACATCAATCTGTGCAAATGGGATACGATGACATGTGTCAACCCAGTCAGCGAGCCAGACAACCAGATCCCGTTAGTCGCCTCTTACGACAAGCATGGGTTATTGAAGATCAATTCTAACCCGGATCTCTACAGGTCCGATTCTGACATGAAGTAACATATGAAATGAAAGAAAGTGAAAAGGAGGATTAATTGCAAGCTTATGGATGTATCAAAAGTGATTAAGAGTTATCTGATAGAACAATTTGAATACCTACAACCAAAGCTTATACGTAGTTATCGGCCATGAAGCATAGTTTTCAAACATTTTGGATAATGTTATTTCATCAAATATTTTAGGAGTGTGAAGCTTTGACTGGCCCTATCATTGAAATTTAGCTCTATTCCTATACTGTATTAAACATTAGACACCAAATGATATGTTTGGATTTCATATCAGTACAAATTTAGTCTTCTAATAAGTATATGTAGTTAAACTACAATTGCGGCCATTTTGGCGGCCATTTTGAATTCTGGGTAATATATAAAAATCCCTAATAATATGCCGTCACTCTAGAAGTAAAGAGAAAACAAAAAGAACTTGTTTTAGTAACAAAAATAATGTCAACTGCCATTAAATAAATCACCCTCACACATTTCCATGAAAAGTCGGAGAATCGCTAAAATACCCCTGGCTCAAAGAATGAGCTGTAAAACATTAAATTACCACGATATGACCAACCAAATGACTTGTTTTGTGCCCAAGCCATCACTCTAGGAGAAAGATGTGTCAAAACACATCAAAAGTATCAACTGTGGATGTAAATGGAAACATTCAGTGTTCATTTTTACGTAGATTGAAGTGCTGAGAAGGCAACACACGACAAAACAAAATGGCGGCCAAAATGGTGGCCATTTAAAAAAAAATTTCAAAACAAAATTATGTCAAACAATTTCTACATCTTTTAGCCGTACACAAAAGTCAAAATGAAAGTGATCAGATCGATAGTAGTAAAACTATTAATGATTAACTTTGAGGTGTTGTCGGGCAGCAAACGAAATGTGACGAAAATGCTCGCAGACCCCCACCACATATAATGGCCTGTAAAAAAAACCTGATACCACAATCTGAGAGTATTACAGGCCTTTTCATGAGCCCAAGACATCATACTAACTGAAAATAGTGTCAAACAAAATCAGTACTGGGGAGGCTACGAAATCCTATTTCTAGGCCTCTTTTGAGATTCTCCTCCTGGACTAATTCAGAAGTTTCCCAAGTAGTCAGTGGGGTTTATTTTAAATCTGCAGGGCTGCTGCTGATGTGTATCATCTGTTCCACGTTGGGGAGACAGAGAAATGAGGCATTTCGTGAGCATGCCACGACATCGACAAACTGTAAGGGGGACCTGGTTATGGATATAGAGAATGAACAGCAGTGGGGCCTCAACTGGACAGAGAGACTGAAATGTACCAACTGTGGCTACCTGTCTAAGCATCATAAGCTCTACAGGGAGGTAGAAGTAGCTGCGGCGAAGAAGGGACGTCGCTCCTCCACTGCTAACACTGGACTCCAGATAGGCCTGTCGAAATGTCCCATGGGGAGTGAGAGTTTCCGTGTTCTCTGCATGAGTGCAGATATTCAACCCCCATCCAGTTCAGGCATGCAGAAAGCTGCAAACAGAGTTTGTGATAATATTAAACATCAAAATGTGAAGGATATGAGGGCCAGGAGGGTGGAAATGAGGGAAATAAATAAATACAGGGGAACAAATTTGAATAATGTCAGCATGTCTACAGATGGCATGTACAACAACCCACTTTTCAGCCAGCCACTGAAGTTACCTATGTAGCCACTGAGAATGAGACTTGTGACCACCAAATATTAGCTCTACAAACAAAATCAAAACTTTGTTCAAAGCACAGTTTAGTTGACAACATTTCTTGTGTAAACAATCCAGACTGCACTGCTGATTTGCACATGTCAGAATCAATAGGGAATGAAAAACAGTTAGCTGCAGAGTGTTTCAGGGACTTAAAGAAAGACCAAATTGATGTAGAATTTTTGACAACAGATGCTGATAGTGCAGCTTACACAGCTCTCACTGAAATGTATGAAGCAGGGGAGATGGATGTTTGTCCGCAAACTTTTCTCGATACAAGGCACCTATCAGCCAGTCATAGAAAATTCATAAAAATTCTAAATTTGTTGTGGACATGATGCCTGCTAGAACTAAACAAGATAAACAGAATTTTGCAAATACACTTTCTTTAGACTGTGCATCCAGATGTGCAGCTGAGTTTTCAGCTGCTTACTCAAGTCATGCAGGTAACTTGCCAAGGTTGAAGAAATCTCTGTCATATACCTCTGATGCTATTGCTTACTGTGACATGGGAGATCACACTAAATGCAGAAAGCAGTCACTTGTGTGCAAGGGGGGGAAGCAAAATTGGTTATCACACAGTAAATATTTGAATAAAAACTTCAAAATTACTCACAATGAAATTCATTTTCAAAATTTGAGAAAATGCACTGACTTTCGTCTCGGCCCTAAAATAATAGACAAGACCCAATTCAACCTGAACAGTCAAAAGTGTGAAGCTACAAACAAGGCACTGCGCAGGTCATTACCTCGTGATACAACCTTTACTCGGAACTTCCAAGGCAGAGCTCACAGTGCTGTGCATAGTGTGAACTTTAAAAGTCCAACAAAATCACTCTTGACGCTGAGACATGGGCTCGGGTGTGCTGTCACTGCAAAAAGTAAAATTGATAATGAAATCAGCAAAAGCCACAATAAAGTACTTAAAGGTAAAACATACAAGAAATCAAAAATAAGTAAGGACCGCCGCGCTTAGAAAAAGATAGAATTATTCAAACTCCATCATTGTAAAAAAAAATCAATATTCAAAAGACATGTTATTGAAAAGAAATACTGCATATCTGAGACATCAACACCAAAGAGAGGATCATTCATACACAAAACTGGCCCCAAACAGAAAGACCTAACAACATAATGTATATGCTTACATTAAACAGTAGGGTTTATGACTCTTGGTGCACAAACCCTGTTGTCGACAGTGAATTCTTTCCATATTGTGTTCGTGGGTCTCGACAGTCAAATGGTCAGTGTTTACACAAGAAGTGTTGTGACAGAGATGGCTCACTTCAATTTTTTTTTGCCAGAGCTGTCAGTTTTAACCAAATCATCTGGTAAACATTTATTTGCTATGCATAGGGCTATTCTGTGGGCTTTTTGTTCGGTCCCTGCCTTGGACAGCCACGAAAAGAAACACCGCCCATAGCCCTGCTTATCTCGGCTGCCCAACCACTCCCTGCAACCAAATTTACCACTTGGGTCACTCATTTTCCTTTCAAAATTCCCTCTATATTTGTCCCAAAACGTTTCCATGGCAGTACATCAACATGGAAAACCATAAATTATGAACTGCTGAAATATGCACTTACCCTACAGGTTACACAACACCTAATGTTTTCCCATAGACTTCTATAGTAGCCTTATATTTTTTTTAAAATTATCCAGGCTATCAACAGCCATTCCATGTACACATGGGTACACTCTGGCCTTTAAACTACAATAAAACACAATATCTAGCCAACTTGTCCGGCTTGTTTTGCTAGCACAGGAAGCGGAACACATCAACCCCAGTTCCGCACCAAATGTCACCTACTGGAAAATATCTGTACACACAATAAGCATAAGTCATGGTGATGAAAATCACAGCACTGAATACTTAAAATTGTGGTCAGTTTTAATTACTGGTTGGATATGCTTTTAAAAAACATAAACATCTTACACTATTTCATCCAATCACAGCTGTCACATGTCTCTATCTCTTCATTTGTTTACATGCGGTTCTCGCTCAGTGAGCAAGCGATTCTCATTTAGTGTAGTATAACCTGTAGAAACAATGGTCTGCATCTGCACTAGGCAAATCTGTGATGTATTTATTGTAAATATATGTAGCTCCTTAGAAACAAATGGAAATTGGTTCAAGTGCTATACTTTGTGCTCACTGCCATGTCTGTATGACACCTATATGCAGAGATCTGATACATCATAAAAGCTGTTAAGAGTTAAATTACTATGGTTTGGGCAGCTTATTGCAACATGTACTTCTGTATTAATAAAGAACTTTCTATGACCATACACAGGCCTCTATTGTTTATTCTTGTTTCCCAAAAGGAGGGTTCACAGGTCAATTCCATGGTTCACAGATGACGCTTCAAACATGTTACCCCTAAAATATCTTTTCGACCCTGTAAAATTGGCAATACTGATAGAGTCAAAACAAAATAGACTTCATATTTCAATTTAAATGATGGTGAATTGTTTGGAGTAATGTTGTGACAGCAACTAGTGATAGAAGAATCTGATACATCTCATGGAATTTGGTTGTGACACTAATTAGATTAAGTGTTAAAAGAGGCTGGACAGAGTCAGTTGACTGGAACTGCTACCCCTGCACTGTTTACATCTAACTGACAGGTCCATATTTGGTATTTTAACTATGGGAGGGCAAGATCCAATGTTAATGCCTTCATTCCACTGAAAAATTCATAGAGTTAGCATCCTGGACATACTCTGGAAACATGGCACCACACCGAAAGTGTTCGAAAAGTTGTTTCAAAAAAGAAATAAGCCTTGGAACTTTGGTGAAAAACAACCCAGGGATAAGCAAAGTAGATTTAAAGTGCCCCAGACTGTCAGGTTGACCCCTGAGCTACATAAGAAAGTGACCAGTGCAGGGGTGACTGGAGTGCAGCCAGTACAAACACTCACCAGTGTGCCATACAGCCTGTTAAGGCCGAGGATGAGAAACACCCCTCAGGAGGATGATTGTTCACTGAAAACAAAAAATGACAGGTAAGATGACTATAATCTACTTATTCATGTCACCCAAGCTTTGAAATACTTGCAGGTAACAAAAAGTCCTCATTGTTAAAAACTGTTTTAATACCATAATGAAGGGCTAGGCTGGGATAGAAATAGAAAATACATTTCATCCACCAAGGAAGATAATTCACAAATGTCGAACACAACAACATATTGTAAATAATCATTCAGAAGTTTCCCAAGTAGTCAGTGGGGTTTATTTTAAATCTGCAGGGCTGCTGCTGATGTGTATCATCTGTTCCACGTTGGGGAGACAGAGAAATGAGGCATTTCGTGAGCATGCCACGACATCGACAAACTGTAAGGGGGACCTGGTTATGGATATAGAGAATGAACAGCAGTGGGGCCTCAACTGGACAGAGAGACTGAAATGTACCAACTGTGGCTACCTGTCTAAGCATCATAAGCTCTACAGGGAGGTAGAAGTAGCTGCGGCGAAGAAGGGACGTCGCTCCTCCACTGCTAACACTGGACTCCAGATAGGCCTGTCGAAATGTCCCATGGGGAGTGAGAGTTTCCGTGTTCTCTGCATGAGTGCAGATATTCAACCCCCATCCAGTTCAGGCATGCAGAAAGCTGCAAACAGAGTTTGTGATAATATTAAACATCAAAATGTGAAGGATATGAGGGCCAGGAGGGTGGAAATGAGGGAAATAAATAAATACAGGGGAACAAATTTGAATAATGTCAGCATGTCTACAGATGGCATGTACAACAACCCACTTTTCAGCCAGCCACTGAAGTTACCTATGTAGCCACTGAGAATGAGACTTGTGACCACCAAATATTAGCTCTACAAACAAAATCAAAACTTTGTTCAAAGCACAGTTTAGTTGACAACATTTCTTGTGTAAACAATCCAGACTGCACTGCTGATTTGCACATGTCAGAATCAATAGGGAATGAAAAACAGTTAGCTGCAGAGTGTTTCAGGGACTTAAAGAAAGACCAAATTGATGTAGAATTTTTGACAACAGATGCTGATAGTGCAGCTTACACAGCTCTCACTGAAATGTATGAAGCAGGGGAGATGGATGTTTGTCCGCAAACTTTTCTCGATACAAGGCACCTATCAGCCAGTCATAGAAAATTCATAAAAAAATTCTAAATTTGTTGTGGACATGATGCCTGCTAGAACTAAACAAGATAAACAGAATTGGGCAAATACATTTTCTTTAGACTGTGCATCCAGATGTGCAGCTGAGTTTTCAGCTGCTTACTCAAGTCATGCAGGTGACTTGCCAAGGTTGAAGAAATCTCTGTCATATACCTCTGATGCTATTGCTTACTGTTACATGGGAGATCACACTAAATGCAGAAAGCAGTCACTTGTGTGCAAGGGGGGGAAGCAAAATTGGTTATCACACAGTAAATATTTGAATAAAAAACTTCAAAATTACTCACAATGAAATTCATTTTCAAAATTTGAGAAAATGCACTGACTTTCGTCTCGGCCCTAAAATAATAGACAAGACCCAATTCAACCTGAACAGTCAAAAGTGTGAAGCTACAAACAAGGCACTGCGCAGGTCATTACCTCGTGATACAACCTTTACTCGGAACTTCCAAGGCAGAGCTCACAGTGCTGTGCATAGTGTGAACTTTAAAAGTCCAACAAAATCACTCTTGACGCTGAGACATGGGCTCGGGTGTGCTGTCACTGCAAAAAGTAAAATTGATAATGAAATCAGCAAAAGCCACAATAAAGTACTTAAAGGTAAAACATACAAGAAATCAAAAATAAGTAAGGACCGCCGCGCTTAGAAAAAGTTAGAATTATTCAAACTCCATCATTGTAAAAAAAATCAATATTCAAAAGACATGTTTTTGAAAAGAAATACTGCATATCTGAGACATCAACACCAAAGAGAGGATCATTCATACACAAAACTGGCCCCAAACAGAAAGACCTAACAACATAATGTATATGCTTACATTAAACAGTAGGGTTTATGACTCTTGGTGCACAAACCCTGTTGTCGACAGTGAATTCTTTCCATATTGTGTTCGTGGGTCTCGACAGTCAAATGGTCAGTGTTTACACAAGAAGTGTTGTGACAGAGATGGCTCACTTCAATTTTTTTGCCAGAGCTGTCAGTTTTAACCAAATCATCTGGTAAACATTTATTTGCTATGCATAGGGCTATTCTGTGGGCTTTTTGTTCGGTCCCTGCCTTGGACAGCCACGAAAAGAAACACCGCCCATAGCCCTGCTTATCTCGGCTGCCCAACCACTCCCTGCAACCAAATTTACCACTTGAGTCACTCATTTTCCTTTCAAAATTCCCTCTATATTTGTCCCAAAACGTTTCCATGGCAGTACATCAACATGGAAAACCATAAATTATGAACTGCTGAAATATGCACTTACCCTACAGGTTACACAACACCTAATGTTTTCCCATAGACTTCTATAGTAGCCTTATATTTTATTTTAAATTATCCAGGCTATCAACAGCCATTCCATGTACACATGGGTACACTCTGGCCTTTAAACTACAATAAAACACAATATCTAGCCAACTTGTCCGGCTTGTTTTGCTAGCACAGGAAGCGGAACACATCAACCCCAGTTCCGCACCAAATGTCACCTACTGGAAAATATCTGTACACACAATAAGCATAAGTCATGGTGATGAAAATCACAGCACTGAATACTTAAAATTGTGGTCAGTTTTAATTACTGGTTGGATATGCTTTTAAAAAACATAAACATCTTACACTATTTCATCCAATCACAGCTGTCACATGTCTCTATCTCTTCATTTGTTTACATACGGTTCTCGCTCAGTGAGCAAGCGATTCTCATTTAGTGTAGTATAACCTGTAGAAACAATGGTCTGCATCTGCACTAGGCAAATCTGTGATGTATTTATTGTAAATATATGTAGCTCCTTAGAAACAAATGGAAATTGGTTCAAGTGCTATACTTTGTGCTCACTGCCATGTCTGTATGACACCTATATGCAGAGATCTGATACATCATAAAAGCTGTTAAGAGTTAAATTACTATGGTTTGGGCAGCTTATTGCAACATGTACTTCTGTATTAATAAAGAACTTTCTATGACCATACACAGGCCTCTATTGTTTATTCTTGTTTCCCAAAAGGAGGGGTTCACAGGTCAATTCCATGGTTCACAGATGACGCTTCAAACATGTTACCCCTAAAATATCTTTTCGACCCTGTAAAATTGGCAATACTGATAGAGTCAAAACAAAATAGACTTCATATTTCAATTTAAATGATGGTGAATTGTTTGGAGTAATGTTGTGACAGCAACTAGTGATAGAAGAATCTGATACATCTCATGGAATTTGGTTGTGACACTAATTAGATTAAGTGTTAAAAGAGGCTGGACAGAGTCAGTTGACTGGAACTGCTACCCCTGCACTGTTTACATCTAACTGACAGGTCCATATTTGGTATTTTAACTATGGGAGGGCAAGATCCAATGTTAATGCCTTCATTCCACTGAAAAATTCATAGAGTTAGCATCCTGGACATACTCTGGAAACATGGCACCACACCGAAAGTGTTCGAAAAGTTGTTTCAAAAAAGGAAATAAGCCTTGGAACTTTGGTGAAAAACAACCCAGGGATAAGCAAAGTAGATTTAAAGTGCCCTAGACTGTCAGGTTGACCCCTGAGCTACATAAGAAAGTGACCAGTGCAGGGGTGACTGGAGTGCAGCCAGTACAAACACTCACCAGTGTGCCATACAGCCTGTTAAGGCCGAGGATGAGAAACACCCCTCAGGAGGATGATTGTTCACTGAAAACAAAAAATGACAGGTAAGATGACTATAATCTACTTATTCATGTCACCCAAGCTTTGAAATACTTGCAGGTAACAAAAAGTCCTCATTGTTAAATGATTTGGGTGGCCAAACTTGCCTCATTAAAATAATTTATCTTTAAACAAGGTGACATAAGGAATTTTCAATTTTATTCACATTTTTCAGTGATTAAGTGAAGTAAGTGGCCAAATTCAGACTCATGAATGAGTGTTTTTCAAAACCAATTAAAAAACACTGTTTTAATACCATAATGAAGGGCTAGGCTGGGATAGAAATAGAAAATACATTTCATCCACCAAGGAAGATAATTCACAAATGTCGAACACAACAACATATTGTAAATAATCATTCAGAAGTTTCCCAAGTAGTCAGTGGGGTTTATTTTAAATCTGCAGGGCTGCTGCTGATGTGTATCATCTGTTCCACGTTGGGGAGACAGAGAAATGAGGCATTTCGTGAGCATGCCACGACATCGACAAACTGTAAGGGGGACCTGGTTATGGATATAGAGAATGAACAGCAGTGGGGCCTCAACTGGACAGAGAGACTGAAATGTACCAACTGTGGCTACCTGTCTAAGCATCATAAGCTCTACAGGGAGGTAGAAGTAGCTGCGGCGAAGAAGGGACGTCGCTCCTCCACTGCTAACACTGGACTCCAGATAGGCCTGTCGAAATGTCCCATGGGGAGTGAGAGTTTCCGTGTTCTCTGCATGAGTGCAGATATTCAACCCCCATCCAGTTCAGGCATGCAGAAAGCTGCAAACAGAGTTTGTGATAATATTAAACATCAAAATGTGAAGGATATGAGGGCCAGGAGGGTGGAAATGAGGGAAATAAATAAATACAGGGGAACAAATTTGAATAATGTCAGCATGTCTACAGATGGCATGTACAACAACCCACTTTTCAGCCAGCCACTGAAGTTACCTATGTAGCCACTGAGAATGAGACTTGTGACCACCAAATATTAGCTCTACAAACAAAATCAAAACTTTGTTCAAAGCACAGTTTAGTTGACAACATTTCTTGTGTAAACAATCCAGACTGCACTGCTGATTTGCACATGTCAGAATCAATAGGGAATGAAAAACAATTAGCTGCAGAGTGTTTCAGGGACTTAAAGAAAGACCAAATTGATGTAGAATTTTTGACAACAGATGCTGATAGTGCAGCTTACACAGCTCTCACTGAAATGTATGAAGCAGGGAAGATGGATGTTTGTCCGCAAACTTTTCTCGATACAAGGCACCTATCAGCCAGTCATAGAAAATTCATAAAAATTCTAAATTTGTTGTGGACATGATGCCTGCTAGAACTAAACAAGATAAACAGAATTGGGCAAATACATTTTCTTTAGACTGTGCATCCAGATGTGCAGCTGAGTTTTCAGCTGCTTACTCAAGTCATGCAGGTGACTTGCCAAGGTTGAAGAAATCTCTGTCATATACCTCTGATGCTATTGCTTACTGTTACATGGGAGATCACACTAAATGCAGAAAGCAGTCACTTGTGTGCAAGGGGGGGAAGCAAAATTGGTTATCACACAGTAAATATTTGAATAAAAACTTCAAAATTACTCACAATGAAATTCATTTTCAAAATTTGAGAAAATGCACTGACTTTCGTCTCGGCCCTAAAATAATAGACAAGACCCAATTCAACCTGAACAGTCAAAAGTGTGAAGCTACAAACAAGGCACTGCGCAGGTCATTACCTCGTGATACAACCTTTACTCGGAACTTCCAAGGCAGAGCTCACAGTGCTGTGCATAGTGTGAACTTTAAAAGTCCAGCAAAATCACTCTTGACGCTGAGACATGGGCTCGGGTGTGCTGTCACTGCAAAAAGTAAAATTGATAATGAAATCAGCAAAAGCCACAATAAAGTACTTTAAAGTAAAACATACAAGAAATCAAAAATAAGTAAGGACCGCCGCGCTTAGAAAAGTTAGAATTATTCAAATTCCATCATTGTAAAAAATCAATATTCAAAAGACATGTTATTGAAAAGAAATACTGCATATCTGAGACATCAACACCAAAGAGAGGATCATTCATACACAAAACTGGCCCCAAACAGAAAGACCTAACAACATAATGTATATGCTTACATTAAACAGTAGGGTTTATGACTCTTGGTGCACAAACCCTGTTGTCGACAGTGAATTCTTTCCATATTGTGTTCGTGGGTCTCGACAGTCAAATGGTCAGTGTTTACACAAGAAGTGTTGTGACAGAGATGGCTCACTTCAATTTTTTTGCCAGAGCTGTCAGTTTTAACCAAATCATCTGGTAAACATTTATTTGCTATGCATAGGGCTATTCTGTGGGCTTTTTGTTCGGTCCCTGCCTTGGACAGCCACGAAAAGAAACACCGCCCATAGCCCTGCTTATCTCGGCTGCCCAACCACTCCCTGCAACCAAATTTACCACTTGGGTCACTCATTTTCCTTTCAAAATTCCCTCTATATTTGTCCCAAAACGTTTCCATGGCAGTACATCAACATGGAAAACCATAAATTATGAACTGCTGAAATATGCACTTTCCCTACAGGTTACACAACACCTAATGTTTTCCCATAGACTTCTATAGTAGCCTTATATTTTTTTTAAAATTATCCAGGCTATCAACAGCCATTCCATGTACACATGGGTACACTCTGGCCTTTAAACTACAATAAAACACAATATCTAGCCAACTTGTCCGGCTTGTTTTGCTAGCACAGGAAGCGGAACACATCAACCCCAGTTCCGCACCAAATGTCACCTACTGGAAAATATCTGTACACACAATAAGCATAAGTCATGGTGATGAAAATCACAGTACTGAATACTTAAAATTGTGGTCAGTTTTAATTACTGGTTGGATATGCTTTTAAAAACATAAACATCTTACACTATTTCATCCAATCACAGCTGTCACATGTCTCTATCTCTTCATTTGTTTACATACGGTTCTCGCTCAGTGAGCAAGCGTTTCTCATTTAGTGTAGTATAACCTAGAACGTACCAACTCGTCATATAAAATGTTACCACACAAACAAATTTATGACCCTTGACAACTGATCGACCATGATGTCTGCTACTTGCATAGCAAACGAAAACAAACATCTGGTCTAATTTGAAGTATCACCTTCGTAGTGTCATCTTGATTTTATAACCTTTTAAAATTTATGAACTCCATAAACTCATTCAAGTACAATATATTTGTGTTAGATACACTGGTCTCTAATATTTGTCTTTATGTAAGGGCAGACTATACTGCTGTTTCGTTGATCTTAAAGCTACATTTGATTTCAGCAATATAACAAATGTGATGTATTAACCTTGGACTGGCAATGTCAAAGGTATTTCTTTTTAGATTAATTAGAAATATGTACACCAATGTTCAATCATGTATATCACTGCAAGGTGGCTACACACAACTGTTTGACTGTGTGAGCGGAATAAAACAGGGTTGCCAACTATCACCACTGCTATTTTCATTATATGTTAATGCTATTACTGAATCTCTTGGTGTTTAAGAAGATAGATGCATTGACATTGGTGTCTGTCAACTTTTCATGTTACTCTTCCCCGATGATATGTTACTTTTTGACAGCACTGTACGAGGTTTCCAAAAAACATTGAATAACCCTGCAATATATTGTGAAAAGTGGACTTTAACCGTCAATATTAGTAAAACTAAATCTATGGTTTTCAGGCAAGGTGGTAGATTAACGAAATACGAGAACCATTATTTTATTGATACCCAACTAGAAATTGTGTCTTCTTACACGTATTTGAGTGTTCTTTTCTTATGTAGTGGGTCATGGCATATAACGCAAAAACGTGTCATATCCAGAAAGTGTTAAATATTTTACGTTCCAACTATCAAATTTCAGAAAATTAATTGTATCTGTTCTTTTCAACCATTGAAATCAAATAGCGGCACCAGATCGGCAGGTATAATCTGCTGCTGAACAAATATTAGAACCGATGCCAATAACAAGCCTGTATTAACGCTTGAGCTGGTTATGGAGTTCATGATTACAAAGGATATAAAATCGAGATGACACTACGAATGATACTTCAAGAATGAACCAGATGTTTGGGCACTAAGTTTGTAGTAACGATCGGTCTATCAGGGAATCACGATATTATTATGTTATTCAGAACCCTACGCTAAATGAACGCTTTAACTTTCGCTGGTATAATAACAAAGCTGTCGAGAGAAGATGAGGGCGTATTGACGTAATGACCCGGATGAGGCTCAGTGTTTATGTTTTTAAGCGTAATCAACCGACAGAGGTAAAAGCAGGCCACGGTGCAGAGTATTCGATACTGTGATTTTCATCGCCATGACCCTTAACGACGATGTTTTGTGCGAAGATATTTTCCGGTAATTTGTTAGCGGACTTTGAGGGCGATGACGTTCCGCTTTCTGTGCTGGCGGCTGAAACCGGTTAGTGACTGAATATTGTCGTTTGACTGAAGTTTAAGGCCGAGTGTGCCCGCTGTGTTACGTGAATGGCACGATACGACTGGCCTGGATATTTTGAAAATATGAGTTACTATGATGCAATGAAGGTGTTGACGGGGAAAGTGCCTGTTTCGGCGGTTCATGAATTATGGTTTTCCATGTTGATGTGTACTGCCAAACGAAGCGTTTGGTTAGTACTCAGAGAATTTTGAAAATATTAATGTTGCGGGAGCAGCCGAAGATCAAGACTCTGGGCGTGTTTCACAAGTAACTGACAGGCGAGACCAACAAGCCCACCGTCTTACCAACTGTAAATGTTTACCGAATGTTCGGACTTGTTTGGCTCTGTGCTTGGTAAATATATTTCTGCAACGCTACTATTAACAAGCTTTGCCGACCGACTGACTTCAATCAGTTCCACGGTACAATGGAAAGGTGCACTGAAGTTTGTGCGCCAGATGTAAAACCTGCTGTTTAATGGCATGTTGTTAGGTCTTTTCTGGAGCTGAGCCAGTTAATGAATCTGCTTTGATGTTGATGCGGGTATGCGGTATTTCTTTTCGTAACATGATAACGATATTGTTTTAATGATGAACTGGGCACAATTCTGGCGCGGCGATAACATTTTTTGATTTCTTCGTATGTTTTACTGTAAAGAGAACATTGTGACTTTTGCGATTTCATTATCAATTTTGCTGCGGTGACGTACGCAGGCCCGATATTCTTCGGCGTCAGAAGCTGTTTGCTGGACTTTAAAGTTCGCATATGCACGGCGCCAGCGGCTGCGCTTGAGTTCGGTAAGACATCACGAAGATGGCGATTGCGGTTCTTTGTTTCTTCAACTTCACACTTTTATTCGGGCAATTGGTCTTCATCTGGGGCCGGAACATCGTGCATTTTCTTCAATTTTGAAGGTAATTTCATTGATATTTTGAAGTTTTATTCAAATGTTGCTGTGTGAACAACAATTTCTTTCCCCTTGCCTGAAGTGTTTGCTTCTTCCATTGTGATCAATATCGACTTTGGTAACGGCTGTCGAACATATGGAGACAACGAAGTCGCCTGCGCCAGCGGCTGAGAGCTCCTGCTGATCTGAAAATGTATTTGCCAATTCGATTTTATCTTGGCCCGGACTACAGCGAGCATCGCATCCTGGCTGAACTGTTTTTATGGGGCACTATGACTGGCGATGGCTGCCTTTGTATCGAAGGATTTGCGATAGCTCTCCATCTGCTTCATTTCGATGGCCGCTATCGGCGTCTGTTGATAAAGTGCGTCAATTTGATAACAACTAGTGAACACCTTCTTAGCGGCTGTTCCATTTTCATTCGACGTAATCGGCGGTTACGTCTGAATTGTTTGAAAGCCCGTCGGCTTAAATTGTGCTTTATTCAAGTTTTGAACTGTGAACGCTGGTGATGCTGGTATAGATTGTAGTGACTTCATTGACTTTGGCGAATGTCTGTGAACGTAACGACGTTATTCAGGTTGTTCTGTACGTTTATTTGTTCATTTCCGCCTTTCACGGCTTCATACCGTCCTTCGCATTTTGATGTTTATCACCGAGCTCTGTTTTGCAGCTTTCTGCGTCTTTTGAGCTGAATAGTGATATCTGCGCTCGTCGAAGTGAGCTCGCTTCCCCGTAGTTATTTCGTGGGAATAAGGTCGGTGATCGAATCGGCTACTGTGAAACCTTGATAATAACGGAACGAGCGGCGCGGTATTGTTCGTGCTGCTGTCAGTTGGCTGTTCGTTATCGGCAGATACCCACGGTTGTCGATGATAACTAAATATAAATACTGATACAATGACGGAGACGAATGATACATCGGCAATTCCCCGGTGGAAATAGGCCCGCTGACTCCGCGAGCTTCTGATGATTTTGGCTGTGTTGTTACGTTCGTTTGTGAGAATTGTCTTTCATGATGGTCAGTCTTGACACTATATCCCCGGCTTCAGCCCACTTCATTATGATGAAAACGGGTTTCGAATTGATTTGAAACTGCTCGTTCATCGGTCTGATTTGACCGCTTACTTCGCGTCGCTGATGATTAAGGACGAAGGTTCACCCATGTCGCCTTGATTTTAAGATGGAATTATTTTAATGAACGAATTTGACCGCCCAGATCGTTAACAATGAGGACTTTGATTGCCTGCAATGGCTTGAATTAATAAAGTAGTTATGATCATTTCTTGCCGATAATTTTGTTTTCGGTGTTTCATCTCGTATGGCTGTATGCGCTGATGATGATACGCTCCGGTCTTGCGCTGGTCGCACTAACGGCGGCTTCGAAATCAACCCTGACCCGATCTGGGGCTGCCGTCTGCTGTATCCTGGTTTTTCGCCAGTTCAAGGCTGCTCGCGAAACTGGTTGCTTTTCGATGATGATGCCATGTTCAATTTCAATGAAACTCATCAATTTTCGATTGAATTGGTAACGTTGGTTTTGCCGCGGACCAAATACCGAATGAACTGTCAGTTAGATCAATAACGGTGCGGCGATTCAATCGGCTGTTTCTGTCAACGACTTGTCTGGTGGTGTCTGCAACCAAATTCCGTGGATATCAATATCGCCGGTTGCTATAAACATTACTTCGACGATTCGCCATCGTTGGAATTGATAATGATCTGTTACAACACCTCTATTCGACCCTTGAACCGGTCAGGTATTTTGGGAGTAACATGTTTGGCGATCTGTGAACCGTGATTGATTTGCGACTTCCTTTGAAGACAGAATAATGAAGATGATATTATGGTCATGCTAATTTATTAACTACGAAGTCATGTTGCAATATGAAACCATAATCGAATTGACTTCTTAACGGCATGAATATTGTCGGATCTGCCATGTAGTGTCATCACGGGTAACGACGGAAGCTGAAATTAACGCTTGAGACCAATTTCCGTTGTTCGGGAAAATACTGACACAACAAATGCATCACCGAATTTGCCAGTGCGGTCACGGGTTATGCTGCGTAAATGAATCTACGAGCGAAACAATAGGCTTTAGATGAAGGATGATTGAAGCTGAATAACGAATGTTATGTT